TTTGTTCTTTTGTTCTTTTTAGCTCCCAAATGTGTGAATGAGGAAGAATACATGGAATTAGCCCCCAAAATGGAAGCTTAATGGTTGAGATGTTAAATTCCACGGATATAAGTTCCAATGTTAAACTCTAACTAGCCAAATTATCACTAGTGTTCAGTTATTGATTTTTCATGTGAGCCTTGGACAGGTTGACGTAAGCCACTAAGATGATACGGTTCACCTAAAACACTTTATTAATTTAGTTACGTTTTTATATTATTTAATTTGAATTTTATATGTCGTTAATTGATTTTGGTTTGATTTAATTTAATTAAAACAGTAATAATATTTTTTTATCCATAATAATTTTACTAAAAAGATAAAATTTTAAGCACTATAATATACACGTAATAAAAATACCCATAATAATATAAACAATAATGTATCAATTCACATGCACATCACCTCATGGCATGGGAAGTCATGCTAGCGGCTAACGTGGATGCTAAAGAGACATTTCTTATGAGGTCTTTGAATCGATTATTTGCAGCGTAGCTCCATCCCTCGTAGATGTTGACCACCTTTGAGTTCGGTCTATGATAAAGGCCCCTATAAATAAAATGTAAATTAAATATGCAAACTTAATAAAATGAAAATAAATTATTAAAATAATTATTCGATGCAATGTTCATCAAATAAGGCCAACAAGGCATATATGTATGTCTCCTGTGACATACTTTTTTCGTCAGTATCATGTCACGCGGCAAATATTGTTTTAAAACAATTAATCTTCACGTGTTAAAATGTTATATTATATCAAAACACATAACATGTCTAATCATGTATAAATATGTGTCGTAATCATTTATAAAAATATGTGTCAAGGGTATACAGTTATATTCTTTTTCAAATATCAATGCAAAGTCAAAATAAACACGCAGTGCCTATCAGCATATGAAATGCTTAACTGAAAACGACTCAAATGATGTGTACCTAATTTTTACAAATAACATAAGGGTTGGTTAAAATGTTTTTATTGGTTGAAATTGCATTGATTTCCGAAAAAGATGATTACAAGAAGTTCATTATAGGTTGACTTTTTCTAAAAATAATTATAGGGTATCTAAGGGTGTCTTATTAGCATCACCCATAACATAAACCAACATAATATTCCAATCCCAAATGATACTCATTGTCAAATGATCCTCAATAGTCACCGGCTCCTTCCCAAACACATATATATGAAACAATTAATAATCACTAACACATAAAAAGCCTCAATGTAATACGTCTAATAGCTTTAAGGTATGTCTCAAATTCCTTAAATCCCAAAACATATCATAAAACATAATTCGATCAAGGCCTTATTGATAAAAAAATAATAATAATAATAATACACCATCTGCTTTCCCAAACACATATGTAGTCGTATCATCTTTTACGAATCCATATATATTCCCACGAACCCCTCTTATTTTGAGAACTACTTTGTCCGAGAATTTATTTCAAAAAAACCTTTTAATAATTTAAGAATTTATTTCATAAACCACAATTTCTATTCTAGTAATGTACATATATGTACATTTTATGTCACAATACATATGTGCATAAACATAAAAGAAATTTTGTGACGTCACAAAAATAATAATTTTCTTTTGAAATTTCTTTTCAGCAAATCATACGTATTAATGTATTAAGAAATTAATAAAAAAAAATTAGAAAAAAACACTCGGAAAAAAAAAAGAATTCTCAAAATAAAAGGGTTCGTACGAATATATATTAATTCACAAAAGATCTTAAAGATCAGGTGAGAAACGTAAGAAATGAACTGTTTGTATGTTTTTTGAAAAAACAAATAATGAATTATTAGATGATACAAAAATAACATAGGTTAGAAAAAGGTGGCTGAAAAACGTTTTGATGATTCAGTTTTTTTAGTGGTTCAAATGATGATTTTTTTTTTAGAACCGGCGGAATTTATTAAAACCACGGCCTAAAGGAAAAAGACCGGGCACAAAAGAAAAAACAAAAACAAAATATCAAAATGTCAAAAGGGGAACAAACCCAACATTCCCATCTACAATTTCCAAAATACCCCTATATTTCAGCCAACTAAAAACCATAGAAATCATATTATCCGCCAACTTTGAAGAGTTCACTTGGATTTTGTTAAACCAAACATCGTTCCTTGTTTTTCACATACACCATAGAAACCCATAGCAGATAGCAAGAAATATTTTTCTTTTTTTTGGACAGTTCCCCCATAAGGCAACAAAATTAACAAAATCTGAAATCGAAAGGAACCTTTGAATAGAAACATCACACCAATTGAAAATCCAGGGTAGAGAATCAAAAGCAATCGGACAGTCCAAAAGAATATGATCCGCAGTGTCCACACCACTAAAGCACATTTGACGGGAAATAAAAGACATGTTGATACCTCTTCTGGAAAGAGCTACTGCACTAGGAATACGCCCCATACAAGCCCTCCAAACAAAGCTAATGCACTTGATAGGAACTAAGTGAAGCCAAACCGTGGGATTATTTATCGGGATAATCAATTTACTATCAATGAGGGCCCTAAGATCGCATACACGGAAAAAAAAACATCAACAGTTAACCTTGATCTCCAAGTGTCGGGCCCATTGGATCTAACAACCATCCTTGTAACATCCAAAATAGATTTCAATTCCAGCAGCTCCTTAGAATTGTTGGGTTTCCGCTTCCAAGCCGACGAGAAAGCGTCATTCGCCCATCTGTCACCTAAAAGACAAGTTTTCCTCTTGTTTAACGTATATAAATAAGGGAATTTCATTGCCAAAGTCCTGTTCTTTAGCCAGTCATCTAGCCAAAACAAAATTTTCTTTCCGTCCCCTACTTGAAATTCAAAAATATCTGAAACATCAATATCAATATTTCCAAGTGTCGAGAAGACATTGACAATACTACTCCAAGTGCCCGGGAGAGATTTTTTAGCCTAAGAGTGAATAGGTTTCCTTTCACATCTATGAATACTATCAATCACTCGCCTCCAAAGAGAGTCATTTTTTGTTTTAAACCTCCATATCCATTTTGTCAGGAGGGCCCAGTTAAGCGAGGCCAAGGATCCGACCCCGAGCCCACTGGACGATTTTGGCCCAAGCACCACCTTCCAAGCGACCCAATTGATTTTTTGTTTTTCTTCACTTCCTCCCCATAAGAATCGTCTTCTCAGTTTCTCGGGGTTATCAATAATGGAAATCGGGGCTTTAAAAATGGAAAAATAAAAAAGAGGGAGACTACCCAACACAGCTTTAACCAAAGTTAGGCGATCGTCAAAGGATAAAGTTTTAACTTTCCATAGAGAAAATTTATTTTGAACACGATTAATGACGGGTTGTCAGCTCCTTTTTTGGGACATATTTGCTCCAATAGGGACTCCAAGATATTTAAAAGGAAGAGAGGCTGCCTCACAACCGAGAATTCTAGCGCAACTAGCAATTTCATTCTCTGAAACTCCAATGTCATAAACTTTGGATTTGTGAAAATTAACTTTGAGCCCCGAAGATACATGAAAGCATCTCAAAATTCTTGCCAAGTTTATGAAGTTGGAGCTTGTCCAATCTCCAATAAACATGGCGTCATCGGCGTAAAACAAATGAGAAATCGTAGGGCCTCTGTTAGGCATTTCAGCCCCATGAAATAAAGAATGGTCACAGGCCGAACACATGGGCGACATTAATCCCCTTGTCGAACCCCTTTGTTAATAGGAAACTCTTTCGTGGCGGAGCCATTGGTAATAGGAAAATGGATATGGAGGTTTAAAACGGAAAATGATTTTTTTACGGACAATTTTAGTTATTCATGTAAAAAAATAATCTAGGTATCGTTTTTTGTGGAGATTATTTTATAATTTTTCTTATTTTTGTATAACTTAATGATTCATGTCTTTATTTCGTAAAAAAACATGCATTAAATTCATTTCTCACAATTTTTCATAAAAGTTTTGTTTTGACATGATCCAAAGTCTCCCTCTCTCTCTCTCTCTCTCTCTCTCTCTCTCTCTCTCTCTCTCTCTCTATATATATATATATATATATATATATATATATATATATATATATATATATATATATATATATATATATATATATATATAAACAAATGTTTATGTAACAGGTAACAACTAAGGCCTGAGGGAGCCCATGACTCTAATGCACGTCAATTAGTGGAGCCCATATGATATACCTTCTGTCTTCCCCCACTGTCTTAGTGTCTTCTTTTCAATAGCCCAAATTTGATATATGAAAATACACAAAACAAAACTGCTTTCGAAAAGATATGTAAAAAGATAAGACGAGGATATTTAGTAACAACTATATTTTCCTGTTTTCCCTCTCTTTTCATTTTTTTTAGTTTTTGTCACGTGTTAACATAAAGATAAGTACAAAAGTCAAATTTTGGCATTTTGATCCATGATATGATAAACTGGTGCGTTTAACCTAAAATATGCAAATTAAAGACAATACCAATGTACTTTGGATTTTGGAATCACTTCCTGTAACTTGGTTTTTTACCAACATACATATATTTATTTACCAATAATAGCTATGTATTATATTAGTTTTACCAATAACATCAACATACTTGCATCTTGCTACCAATATAAACATTGTACTGTATCAATTGCGTATATTGCTATAATAATCAATATAGACAATGTAACTTAATTAAAATAAATATCCTTCCATTAAAACCGAGGATAATACCAGTTTACACAACACAGTCAGATCACATCTCTTTACCCCCTCACTATCTCCCACTTTCCCTTTCTTGTATCCATTCCTAGTAATATCCTCATCACACAACATACAAGAAAATTCAAAAAAAAAAAAAAAAAAAAAACAATTTTAAATTAAATCGAACCAAGGGGCGGGCCCGGTGATCTTCCACCTCTCGCCTACCCCTAAATAACATCTTAAAAATACAGATATCAATGGAACAACAAAAAAAAAAAAAAAAAAAAAAAAAAAGTTGTTGGGTCAGGGTAAGAGTAAGTTACTCTGACCCAACAACTTGTGTTGTTCCGTGTATCTGTTAATCTTCTCCAACAACTGTCCCGCTTTTCTCTTCCCCCTATCCGTCCCATGATGAAGCAAATCCACAAGAACCTCCATCACTCCAAGCTCCTGCGCCTCCACCAAATACTTATGATCACCCGAACACAAATGCACCAAAACCGCCGCTGCATTCTCTTTATTCCTCGGGGACCCACTCCTAATAAACTCAACCAAAACCGGGACCGCATCCGCTTTCCCAATCCCCACTTTCCCTTCCGCATGACTCGACAATATCGCCAAAATCGCCAACGCCTCATCTTTCATTCCGCCTTGTGGCTCAGTCAAAAGCTCCATCAAAGTCAAAATCACACCCGCCCTCACCGCCCTCCCTTTGTTCCCTTGATATATACACAAATTAAACAACGCAGTCGCCGCATCCTTTTTCCCTCTTTGTGTCCCTTCACTTAACAACACCACAAGCGGCGGAATTGCTCCTAATGATCCGATTGTCACCTTGTTTTCATCGATCACCGAGAGACTAAAAAGAGTCGCCGCTGCGTTTTCCCTCGCTTCCATGCTACCTTTTTTAAGCACATGAACGATCCCCGGGACCGCGCCGGACGACACGATGTTTCCTTTATTGTCTTCGCAGATCGAGAGGTTTAAAAGCGCGGTCACCGCGTGTTCCTGCGTGCGCGAATCCGGCGCCGTTAGCAAATTCGTGAGGAGCGGGATCGCACCGGCTTCCGCGATCGCGACGCGGTTGTCCGCGTTTCGTTTCGCCAAGAGACGGATTTCGGCCGCGGCTGCCCGTTGGTCGTCCGGGCTGATCGATTTTAGCTTCGTCAGGAGGGTGTTGATCATGGAACGTTCCGCGGGCGTGCACGCGGAGGATGATGACGACGACGATGATGATGACCTGGCGGATCTTTTCGGTGGGTCCATTCCGTTTGTTTCGCACCATTGCGCGATTAGGCTTCGTAGGACGTAGTTCGGGATCAACGCTGTACTTGTTAGGTTTTGTTGTGTTTTCGGACATGTTTGGTGCCCTTGTTCTAGCCATTTTTCAATACATGTTCGCTCGTAAGTCTACAAAAATAGCAACATACTTTCATTAACTTAAATAAAATTAAAAGATACATATATATATGTATAAATATATATATATATATATATATATATATATATACCTGTCCGGTTGAGACAATGACGGGGTCTTTCATTAACTCGAGTGAAATAGGGCAACGGAAGTCGTCTGGAATAAGGGTAGTTTTGGAATTTGGTTTGGGAGGGTTGGAAGTGGAGGAATCGGATCCGGGAGGGGGTGAATGTGAATCTTGGATAGAAGGAGTGTCGGTTTGGACAAAATCTTTGATGTGTTTAAGGAGTCTTGACATTTTTTCAATGGATTCGCCTGGATCTCCGTCACTTGCGGATACCATTTCATGGAGTGTTATTGATTCGTGTGTGAGATCGTTTATTCCGGTGAGTTGTAGTTTTTCAACTAATCGTTTTAGGACATCTGGATCTGCCACCACGTCATTGCCCTTGTTGTAGAGGGATGACAGGTCATCAGTTAGTTCGACATCTGGCGTGTCGTTTTTTCCTTTGGCTCTTCTGAATTGAGCAACAACTAACGCAACCTGCATGCATGTTTAAGTTTTTTAAATTCCATGTATTTATTGATAATGATGATGATGATATGAAGGGAAATAAAATGTTTTTCACCTGTTCTTTTACTTCATCTGATATGTCAAGTTTCTCGAAACAAATTCCATCTAAATCTTGTTCCAAACGCTCTGTTACTTCTTGATATTTTTTCATGATTTCCTCCCTCTCTAGGGCCTGAATACATAGAAATAAGTTGTAAGTAATCTTTCTTTATTTAAGAATCATGAATTAAGTACTTGTACACATATGGAAAGTTATCGCACGTTTCAACATGGGATGCTTAAGAGGAAATTAACATAGAAATGAACGTAAAATTGTCATCGATATTATAAAATAAGCACGAATCTTTAACCTAAACTATGGATCAAAGTCATGCCATTATTCATCAAGGTTACTGTGTGCAAACAATTTCAAGGGATGAAGAAACAAAGATACACATTCAGAACTATCCCACTTGATTATTCATTAGTGAGCTCATAGTTAATAAGAGTTATGTCTCATATATATATACAAAAAGATCAGTAGTAAACTGTATTCTTTGTTTTCTGAATCAAGTATAGAACAACAGATAAGTTTAATGGTAGTATTTCTGTAAAGATTCTACAAACACAGCAAATCTTCATATAAATTAGACAATTCTCAATAGATAGCAAATAAATGTAGCTGATTGAACCAAGAAGACAATTACTAAACCCTAGGATTGTTCAAATTACGGGAGAAATTAAATAGGTATTCTCATTCTAATAAATCGCATTAACACAATCATATCTAGAGATACGCAACAAAAACAAACAAATTCAGTACGATTTAAAACCCTAGGTTGGCTTCCAGTCTTGGAATGGTTCATTGACCGATCTTTGGGTAAGTTAACAACAAAACTAGCATTAAATTTCTAGAAATTGATGTAGGAAGAACATGAATGTTGATTCCAATAGATATAAGAGCTAAAAGGTACCAAAAAGTAACCAGAAGTTCAAACTAGATACAAAAAACAAAAAACCTAAAAGTCAATTACTAGATTCGATTTATAGAAATGTACCAGATAAATCTTGCTGGCTTGACTCCCTAATCGAAGCAACTCTTTAGCAGATTCCAAAGCCTCCATTAACGAAAGCAACGATCGGTAGGATTCATCAGGGAGGGGGTCTTTAATATCACGAATCTCTTCAAACAATGGACTCAAAAGCTTCAATCTTCGAGCTAAATTGAAAAACGGCTTCCTCACCGTACACCTATAATCCGATATCAGTGATATCTCGCTCACGATATCAATCAGCTTCAATACCACCCCGCCTTTCCCTCCTTCCGCCATAACAATTAGCAACAGCTTCCCAAATTCTCAAAAGATCTAAAACAAAAACCTCCTGACCACTTTCAAAAACTGAAGCGATTGAAGACGAGATTGTGCCAAATCGTTAGTGACAGCCACCGGAGACCGAAGGAGGTCAGGGTCGTCTCTCCATGAAAGAGAATATAGAGTGTGATGATGGTGTCACGAGCAGGAACAGAGAAGGAGAGGAGGGTAGGATTTGGCTTTTTGTGTTGAGAGTGGCGCGGCTGGTGTGAGCTTAACCTAACAATTAACCATGGTTGAGTTTAGAGGTGATTCTGTTATTGACTTTTTGGCTAATTCTTAGCTGGAAGTGAGAATGCAACGACGATTCTTCAGCTTAAACGGCTCCGGGTCGACTGGGGTTAGTTTCAGTTATTTTTTAATAGCTTTTAGAGCAATAATTCTTAGTTTCAGAATCTTATAGCTTAATAATGTGTACTTGATGCATCTAATATTGTAAGTTACTTTAAAATTACATAGAGAAGATGGGTCGACTCTGGGTCGACTCAGTTTTATTTGATTATTATTTTTTAAGTAAATTACACGAATGGTCCTTATGGTTTTGGGTAATTTACGTGTTTGGTCTCTAACTTATTTTTTTAACTCGGAAGATCCATAATGTTTGTTTTTGTCATGCTCTTGGTCCCTATTATTTGTTTTTGTTACATGTTTGATCCCTATCTTACCTAAAAAAAACTATTATTTAAATAGGGAAAAATGATGGGATAGGTAAGGTATGGTAACGTAAGGGGATGAGATTGAGGGTGTGTTTATTTAAATAAATTAAAAAATCAAGTGCAAAATAGACTTTTTAGGTAAGACAGGGACCAAGCGCGTAACAAAAACAGATAGTAAGGACCTTCCGAGTTAAAAAAAATAAGATAGGAACCAAACGTGTAATTTACCCTAAACCATAGGGACCATTCGTGTAATTACTCTTATTTTTTAGAACTAAATTACATAAATGTTTTATGTGTTGCAAAATATATCATGTTTGGTTCTTGTGAGAAATTTATTGCAAAAATTATCCTTTAGTTCAGAAACCCTTGCAAGAATGGCCCTTATTAGCCATTATGTTTAATAAGCAACATGAAGTCAAGACTTGTCCTCCTAAAATGAATAAATATTTATCTCTCTTTGACTCTCTATGTCAATCCCTGACCCTCTATCTTCAGCTTATCGAATCCCTAAAACAATTAGCCATCACGAGAAATTAAGCATCACCATCATTTAAAACAATCTAAGCTAAAATCTATCACATCATCGAATGAACAACCAACGTCCCCATCGGTACATATGTAATCATGTGCTTCTTAAGTTGACTATGAAGAAACATTTGTAGTGTAAACTTAAATTAATGTAAACAAACTGAGAAATATGGAAATGAAGCCTTGTATTTGATTGTGAGGTTCAAACCTTATGTTATATACATAGAGATTACCTATATAGAAAATGAGATAAAGGTACATCAAGAACTAGGTAAACCCTATTATATTTATATCTTTAACATTATCCCCTCGAGTTGGAGAATCAAACATGTCTAACTTGACTCTGAAAGCAATAAATTGTTGGAACATAAACATTAAGCAAAATTCTTAAAGAAGACGACGAAGCCAGAATCAGAAAAAGCGAAACATAAATAAAGCATATTGGAAATGGAATCTGGAGTAGGGACCTAAATCTTGAATAGTGGAACTTGATCAGTGGAATAAGAACAAAACACCCAAACATGAATAATGGTGTACCCGAGTCGACCGATCAGATCAGCGCCTACCCAGTCACACCAGGTTGCCTTAAAAGCAGCCAACTATCCGGCCCATCATATCAATACATTTTTTGGTGTAATTGGATCAGCACGTGAACGACAAGACAAACTGTTCAAACCAACCAACCTATATGACAATAATTGTAACATCCCAAAAATATAGTCCAAAATTTTCGTTTTAAAATCATCAAATAATCAAGAATTATTAAAAATCATTATTCTAAACATAAACCATAATATCCCAAATGTCAAAACAATGTATCCATATCAATCACATGTCAATAAATCAAAGTAAAATATCCCAAGCTAAAAGTTGTAGTGTGTGTCATGCAGTCATCCCGAGTTCTTCCCCTTACTAGCGGAAATATCTCAAACCAAACTGAAAACTGTAAGCACGAAGCTTAGTGGGTCTCCCCAAACTACCTCATACCATACACATAATCACATAATAGCATACATTAGGTCTTGCCCACTACATCGGGCCCCGTCCGGTATCGGACGAATCCAGCATCGGGCCCCGCCCGACATTGGACCGAAGTCCGGTATACATATAACTTATCACAAACATATAACATAAACACATAACATAAACATATAAGTTAAATCCTTCCTCGGGCTTGCCCCGGCATCGGACCAAATTCTGGAACATAGAACATATAACATATAACTAAACATTCATTGGGCTTGCCTCGGCATCGGACCAAAGTCCGAAACATATAAACAAACACATGCAAGAATCACAAAGATATCAAGCATACAAACATTCCTCAGGCTTGCCCCGAGATTGGACCAAAGTCCGAAAACATAAAATCTACATCGGGCTAGCCCCGACATTGGTCCTAAGACCGGAAAACACTATCATACATAAACAGGCCAGCATTGGTGCCTTCGATCCGTTCCTAATGGAGAAAAAATCACCTCTCAAGCTGGCTGTTGAAATCTCGTGTGAGGATTCTCTGATGGCTGTTCCAACGACTCCCCGACTATAATTTTCATAATAAACACTTAGTTTAAAACTGAAAATCCTTCTAAGAGTAAAATGACCATTTTACCCCTGGTCAAAATCCACATTCTGGTCAAAGTCAGCATTCTAGGTTGACCCAACTCGCCAAGTTGCTCCATCAACTTGCCGAGTCCTAGAACCCTGAAATTACGATCTAACTCGTCGAGTCACCTCCTGACTCGCCAAGTTCCCTGGCTACTCAAAGTCGCGATTTGGAGAATCAACACATCGAGTCCCTTCACAGACTCGTCAAGTTCTACCTTAATCTGAAACGGGACAACACGACTCAACTTGTCGAGTTCCTCTATGGACTCGACGAGTTCCTCTGTCTGTTTGGGCCATCTTAACTGATTAAGTCCTTACTCTTCAGATCCAAACCCCATACTTCATCTACATACTGGAAATACTCTTTTAAGAGTAAAGTTTCCAACTTTACTCGCTAATAATCCTTCTTAACGGGTTTAGCTAAAACCCTAGTTCTTTAGGACATAGATCTTTGTCTAAAAACCTTATTACTCCAACCCAAAGCACGAAAACCGAGATCTAGGTCCTAGACACCAAAGGAACACGTAAAGTCTCAGACTTTACTTCCATGCATGGCCTTTTGGGGCTTAAAAGGCCATAATAACATCTTAAATCTTGCATTGGTCTTCCATGGTCATAAAGTTTGCACCTTTGTGCCATAAACCCCTTCTAGATCCCAGATCTGAAAGGTAAGTCACTTGGGATGTCCATTTCCCAAGGATTAAGCTTCTTAGACTAAAAACCCTCATAAAGTGAAAGTATGGAGATCTAATGAACTAATAGACAAGTTAGAGACTTGATTACCAGAAAATGATAAGGATGGAAGGAAATATCTGGATCTACTATCTTCTCATTGCACCTTCTAGCTCCTTCTTCTTCCTCAAGCTTCAAGAACACAAAAATCACTCAAAATGGCTCACAAGCTCACACAAAGCTCTAAGGTTTCGTGGATTAGGGTTTGGGACTTAGAGGCTGGAAATGAGGCCATAAGGTAGGGATTAGCATGCTTAAATAGGGTGCAAAACCCCGAAATTAGGTTTCACTCTGGCAGACCTACTCGTCTAGTTAAGGGCTCTCAACTCATCGAGTATATTGCTTAAAAACCCGCGTCCAATATCGTTTCTACTCGACGAGTATGGGGCTCCCAATTCGTCGAGTAACTCTATAAAAATGAATAAATTACAAATAAATGCGTACTAGGAAACAGGCGTTACAATAATAATACATAGAAAACAAAAGAAGGAAAAGAAATATATCCTAGAAGTTATGCAAGTACAATATCATGACAATAATAAAAATATAGAGCGGTACATGTAACCTAGTTAACTTTAACCGGTCAATGCAACTTATCGGGTAAACCCTTGTATCAAAGATGCCTATAAAAGTTGGTGGAGACATGATGATAAGGTAACGTTTTGGTAGAACAAGGAACCCTCACAATTCATATTTAAGCTTTATAACGATAACTTACTTAGGCATCGAAGAGCCATATCAGGGTCCATCCCTCGGTATAGCTTTCTAACCTAGTTTTTGTCTCTTCCTTGCAGCGTACAATCCGGAGTGCCCATTAGAAAAGGTTCTCGTCGACCAGCTTCCATGTACCCGGATACCATGTAGTAACATTGGCACCATTCGTGTCATAAATCTAAGAGTTGTATTTACTAATAGCAACACAATAGGTGCCACCTACACTATGACTCACCATTGTTAGCCAAAAGGGCATACTTCACCATGCAAAGGAGGAAACAATGTAAGACTCATGCACAAAGTATTTACAACACAACAAGCACAAAAAAACCAAGATATTGGGTGATGATCCAATCCTGATACAAGGAAATATCCATGGCATATGTGTCCATAGAATATATTATGATAGTGGAAGTTCAACAGAGATAATGTACGAACACACTTTTTCTAAGCAACCAGAAGCAATGAAAAAGCAGCTCAGATAACCGGATTCGCATTTAACAAGCTTTATAGGGCACTCAGTATGGCCCCTAGGGGTAGTATCATTGCCATTAACATTACGAGTTCATCACACAAAGGACGAAAATACACAGATATTAGACTTCACAATAATACAATCCTCATCGCCTTACAACATTATTTTCGGGAGGAGTGCTATGAAAAAGTTTAAGGCAATCATATACACAATATATGGCCTAATCAGATGTCGGGTCTTAATAGGATATGGGATAGTACATAGCGAACCACTGCTTACCCCAATGGCAACACTCATAGCAGAGAAAAGAGATCCGATAATAGAAAGTCCATAAAAGCCCAAACAGAATCCGGAATTGTTATAACAAATAATGAGTACCCAGAACTGGGATCCGAGTTATTTCTACATTTTCAAGGGTGCTAAAAGAAAATTTGACACAATTGTTAAAAGAAAATGTCGACATATTCACTTGGCAACCAATACATATGTTGGAGGTACTGAGGCAAGTGATAGAGCACAAGTTAGATGA